AAAAAAATAGCTACAAAAAAACATAAAAGTACAGATATGTGCAGAAGGAATGGAAGAGGAAGTAAATATAGGCAAAAGAGAACTAAAATACGTGGGAAAAGATAATAACAGCAAACATATTTACTCGCATCCGCGGCTAAAAATGTCCAAAATGTGTATTCAAATGCAGCTAAGCACGCAAACAGAAATGAGACGAAATAATGTTCAAATGTCCCCCCTGCTAATTTACTCGCTTCACGTCATGCAACACCTACATACTTGGAATAGACACGAAAAAAAAAACTTAGAAAGAAAAGCCAACAAGTGGTTGTAACATCTATAATCTGGCATTTCCTTGAAAAAAAAAAGAAACAAAATTCCTGATATGCATGGAATATTTGGAACAAATGTTAATTCACAGCATGATTTTGCAACTACGCAGCTTGTAAGTTGAAAATTGAGGTAAAATAACGAAACACCGTACCTTGCGAGTACTTTTTGTCGCCGATTACCGAAAAGATTTGACGAAAGTTCTTCGACCAGATATTTACCGGCACTTAAAGCTTTCAGCAGAAGAGCAAGTCGGTAACTGGCCATTCTATAAAAATTGATTACCAAACATTACAATTTTAGGGCAAAAACCTTTCAAACGAGCGTCTTACACCTTTGCCGAAATTTTAATAGCCCGCTACTCAACAATGTCGGAAATCGAAATTTTTTTGTGAACTCACTCTTCTGACAGGCAAAATTATTCAAAACTACTCTAAGTGGTATTACTTATGATGACTTTTCGCTAAAGCTAAGTTCTTTGCAAATGTAGAAAATCGGAATTTCAATAGCTATTATGAGATTCAAACTTCGCATGGCTGTATTTCAGTAAGAAATCTTTTTAAAGGATTAACCACCAATTCCTAACAGAAATTTGTTTTCTGGCAATGTTTTCTGGTCGGCAAAAAAGCCAGCAGCGTAATGCAAAAACGACACACTCAGATTAACTGATTAAAATGCAATTATACAAAGCAAATGAATCTGGTCAACTTTTCTTTGCTGATTTTTTTACCGAATGAAACGAGTACCTGCTGTTAACGAAAATTAAAATTTTCTTCCAGGATCTGTGCCGCTCAATTTGCTCATAAATGGCAAGCGGTTTCAGTTTTGTATCGCAAACGACCACTTCGAGTTTCAATGAGTCCGGTATGATGATGCTGTCTGAACTGGCGGCCCTCGAACTCACGATCACATTATCTTTTATCGCTCTGAAAAGAGCTGCAGCTTGCCGCACTTAAACTTTAAAATCAAAACAGTTAAAGATTTACAAGAAAACCTGAAGTAAACTCCACAGAAATATCTAGAAGTCGAGAAAAGAACGTTGACTGACTAAAGATGGAAAGGGAACTGAGGAAAATTTTGATACTTGAACAAACGGGGATGACGTAAACGCCATTCGCGAAGATCCTCAACGTCCAAAGATAATGTAGCAGAAACCAAGATCTTCTGCAACCGGCTCGCACTGTACAAGTCGTCGATCGTAACACAGTTCGGCTCATCTGTAAATTGCTGCTAAAAGTCTCAGATGTGAAACACTTCCAAGGCCCTACTAACGTTCTGCTTCGACGTTAGATGATGCTAGCTTCGCAAGCAAAGTGCAGGAAAGAAGGAGGAGAAGGCGAAACCTCCTGCATTTTACTCTCACGCAAGTATCGTAAGGCAGAACACTAAAAAATTTTCTACCAGGAAGACTAAACTGACAATAATGAGTGCCTGTCTTGCTTTTTTGTTATATGAATAGAAAACTCAGCGGGGAAACAGATGCTTTTTTTATAAGTTGGTAAAATACTAGAAAAGGGTGTTAAGAAAAATGGGAGGGGGGGGGGGGGGGGGG